TTACTGAAATATATTTTATTGATATACACCACAGGAGCCAGCTTGGATTTTGTTCAAGGAGGGGGGAATCACTTTCCGTGTGTGATGGGTCTGATTCATAAATTGAACCAGACCAAGTTATGCTAGATTTCAAGTCACAACACTTGAGTAAAAAAACCTACCATGATGAAGGTTCAAAGAGGGAAAGGAACTTCTCATCCTAACCTGTGAAAGGGATTTAAAAAGTCAGTATCAAGCCACTACTGGTTCATAACTTCAAGTCAAGAAGAAAGTTTTATCAGCACTTACCCCTCCACACTAGACTGAGAGTATCTAACTGGCTCAGCCTCATTCCTTGTGCTTAGCTATCTAAAGGATGCCACACAAAACCTGAATGTCATTCCTCAGCTGTAAAGATAAGCCCCTCTGACTCAGTGCAACCACTCACACAAGTTCTAGCAAATGTCCTCTCTAATTGGGACAAGGAGAGTTCTGGTGGCTTAGTGGTAAGGAGCGGCACTGCCAATCCAAACACACATGGTTCGAATCCACCAGCTGCTCTGCAGAAGGATGTGCAATCTCCTATGTGATTTACTGTCTCTGAAAACCTACTGGAGGGCGAGCTATGAGTCAGTTCCAACTCAAAGGTACACAACAGCAGCTGGGACAGGGAAGAGGGCTCGTGCTGTCCCTCGGGCAGCCATTCAACCACCCTCTCTTTAGCATTTGTGTGACAGATGTTGTCTTTGAGTAGCAAATGCCAGGCTACAGACTCAAGCAGATAGCAGTTTCTAGGGGACTGTTTATGCGTTACCAAACTAGACTGACAGGTTGAGTCTGAAAAACAATCTACAGGATTCTCTTTGGTGTAAAATTACCCAGCTTAAAAGAGTGCTTCTGCACTTCCTGAGGTTTATATGGCCTTACGGCGTAGCTACCACGTTAAAGACATTCCTATTCACTTTTACCAATTGAGCACCATCAAGCTGCCAGCCCGAGTGAGGAAGCCCTGCTCAGGGCTACGTGGACCCACACGGACAGCCCTGCTCAGGGCTACGTGGACATGCACACAGAGAGAGCCCTGCTCAGGGGCTACGTGGACCCGCACAGAGAGCCCTGCTCAGGGCTATGTGGACCTGGACAGACAGCCCTGCTCAGGGCTATGTGGACATGCACACAGAGAGAGCCCTGCTCGGGGCTACGTGGACCCGCACAGAGAGCCCTGCTCAGGGGCTACGTGGACATGCACACAGAGAGAGCTGTGCCCTTGTCTACTGGTTAGCAGTTTTGACCATGGGCTTCTGGGCCCCCTGGTCTCCTAGCAGAAGCTCTGGTGAAGAGGTGTGAAGAGGCAGCTTCCCCCTGGATACTGAGATGCTGAACTCCACATAGAGATAGCTTCAATCTACAGCTTTCAAGCTACAAAGTTCTTCACATTCAGAAAGCTAGTTAAACAAAGGTCAAGGACTGAAGAGCATTAGTTTCTGAGGAGTCAACATGCTAGGCCTTGCAGCTCCCTGACAACATGGGAACAGGTGGGGGCAATGGCTGTAGGACAATGGGGACATCCTCAACACTGGCACAGGCCATGTTGCTACCTTCATGTGACCATCCATCTAATAGTGCAGTAGTCAGTTTAGAGTATACCAATGGTAAGTGTTATGACAGTGGTTAAATCTCCAAGTACAAACTTTTCTGATAAATGGCCAGCTACCAAATCATTTTTGGCTCTGCAGACCTAAAGGCTTCTGTTCGAATATTCAACCCTACTGGTAACTCAAAAACACACAACAGAAATAAATGGACATGGGGGTGTTCCAATAAAGTTTATTTACAAAATCAGGCAGCAGACTATAATAGGCCAAGCCTTGAAGTAGACTGCTGAATCCAGTCAACAGTTACATGGGACCACAAGCCTGAATTGTGAAAACAAAGACTTCACGTCTCCTGAGCTTTATTCTGACATTCTTCAGAATCTTCCTTGTCCCTTCCAGTACCGGTCGAATCTTTTTTGAGTTCAATTATTTTTTTCCTCCAATTGCCTCATAATACCAGGCATCATAACTGTAAAACCTAGCTCTGCTGTACTTCTCAGCAGGGACAGGAGAAGACAGTAAAATCTGCTGAGAGGCATTTCAGATGGAGCCAGGGCCTGCTCAAACTCTGAAGTCCACCAAGGAAGAGATGTCCTCTAACACTTCAGAGTCCCCTTCCAGAGCAAAGGGACCCTCGCCATCGGCAGTTCCAACAATGCAAGGCTTTGTCTACAATTTCTTTTTTTAAAAAAAGAAAAAAGCAGAGCCATTAAAGATACCAGATTTGCCCATCAGCCTCGTAAGTGAAGCAAGTATCTGTATGTTTTTGTTGAGGCATCACTACTCTCAAAATAAATATGGTAACATTTTGCTTTGGCCCAGTGAACTTCAAATCAAACAGAAATTCACCACAAGGCCAAAGATTTTTCAGCTTACAGACCAAAGTATGGCTCCCCTGAGTGGTAAAAAGAAAGGGGACTCCAATACCATTAAAATTGACAGGGGGAAAAAACCCCACAACCACCTCTGACAGAAGACAGCTCTTGAATGCACAAAAGTCATGGCCATGAAGACATGCAATTAGTTCTGTGTTCAGCGATTTCATTTGAAATGGGCAGAAATGAAGTCGTGACAACGATCTATCCGGGGCAGGTGTCATAGTTCAGCAGAAGGAAGAACTCTGTCTGGAAGCCACAGCCCACTCAGGCAAGGACATGGTCTAAAGCAGTCCACAGGACAGAAAAGCCAACTGACGCAGGACATAAGGGTCAGGTGCTTCCAAGAGATGTCTTCTGTTCTTTGTCTCTGGTACAGCGGCTGCACAGAGAAAGTTAATTGCAAGTATTTGATTCCCAGGAATGTTCAGGGGGACATTATTTCCAAAACGATAAAGTGAGAAGCCCCAGCCTGCCCCTAGACTTATGCTTCTGAGAGTAGGGAGAGGAAATGAGGTGAGAGGCTCAGTCACATACAATTGCTAAGGGAAGGAAGCGCTCAGGATGGCTGTGGACATGTGGCTAGGAAGAGCTGGTCTAGGAGCCCTTCCACAATGTCCCTCCCCTTTAGGATTTGCCCACAAGATTCAACTGGACCACCAATGCTGACTTACGGTGGCCACAAAAGAACCACAAGGTCAAGAAGGAAGGGCCTTCAAGGGAAAGAGGTGCCAGGATTCAGGGGCTGGACCCAAAGGGTTTGTGGGCCACGCTGAGTGATTCAATACTCCAGAACCTTCCTCTCTTTGTGTCAGAATTAAATACTCAAAGGATGACCTTCTTCTTACACTCTGAACCACTCTATGATTCCTATGTGACGCTGGTGTTAGCAGTCAAAGATATGTTATCTAATATTGTAGAGAGCAAAGTCTGAACACGTACCTGGAAAAGAAGCAAATAATTTTGTGGAAAAGACATACCTTACTAATTCAACAAGTCTGAGTTATCTAGACTAGTAAGGAAATGCGATCTTTTAGCTCATTTTCTGGTTAACTTAAGTGTTAGAAACAAACAAACAAAAGAAATTTTATTTAAATACTTTTTTTTTCTATACTACGACCAACATCCATCCACATCCTCACCATAACACTAATCTATATACTCAACACATTATTGCATTTCTTGGATGACGGAGGACTTGGCCATTATTTTTACTACAGTGTCATCACTTTTGACATCAATGACAACTACACAGAATGTATTAAAATGCACAAGTGACACAACTGGACTGAATATAGGCAGAGTCCACGATGAGGTCTAAAGGTTGATTTTTAAAAAATCTCTTTCAGGGTTGGGATTTGTTTTAAAAGAATCCTTAGAGACATATGCAGTCAACAGCTGTCTCTGAGATTGTAGGCTGAACAATTTTACGTTCGTACTGTACAATAATGGAGCTCTGGTGTCCTAGTAGTAAGAAATTGTGCTGCCAACCGAAAGGCAAGCTGTTTGAACCCACCAGCTGCTCCAAGGGCAAAAGACAGAATTTGCAGCCTCCAAAAATCCTCTGAAAGGCTGGCTGTGAGTCCGTTCAAGCACAACTGCACAATACTTCATCCTCTGAGAACACATTCGTATGTCTTGAGATGTCCCACTGGTACGAGGGAATGCTTCCGGAAGGCTGGCAAAGAGGTCATTCAAACTTAAGGCAGAGGAAGAAGAGCAGGCCTCAAAATGATACACAGAGGTGAGAAGACGCCAGCACAGGTGGCCACCAGGGGGCATCATGACAGTTGAGGACGCAATCCAAAACAGAGGACTTGAGGGACGCGTCCCCACATAATAGCTTTATATCTAACCTGCTCTGAAAACGCATAGCCTAACAAAATGCAGCTGCCTCTTACTGATTGCGCTGTGACGCAGAGTTATGGTGCCACTCACTATGCCAGCCCAGCATGTTTCAGGAGCCACATGGAGGGAGGCCACCTTCCTGCGTCCTCTACCTACCTCAACGTCATCACCGGGACTAACTTCCAGCAACTGAGAGGGTTACCTCAGAGGTTACAACAAGGACTAATTAATTCTCCAATTTTAAAAAGCAACAGGATCCTTTTCCTTAGGGAAAAGGATATTCTCAGTGACCAATCAAATCCTTTGTCTCAAAGTCACACTATGTTGTTAGCGCCCATATTCAATTTCCAATCAATTTTGGTTTGAATAACCCAGGTAATTGGAATCTGTCCACCCACCACATAGACCAGGTCAGAACTCTTGAGGCTGCGCCTGTTGTCTCTAATTCTGGAATACCAAAATAGTCGCCACCTTTTGCTGAGTTCAGCTTTCAGAGGATTCAAGGTCAGCTCCAACACAGCCTTCCAGGTTAACACTGGGATTTTTAAAAAAGGTCATGATTATAATGAAACCGCAGCTGAAAGGGGCTATAAATACATTTTTTAAATGAGAACTGGTGCACAAAATTGCACAGTATTAGATCTATGTGGCTTTTCGTTTATAGCAATCACACTTACAAGCAAATACAAGTACAACAACCTACCAATTCCTGAGTTGGCTCCAGTGACGACGACCACTTTGCCAGAGAAATCCCGGCCCTGGAGGATCTCCATGGCCGTGGTGCTGCCGTCATACCTCTGTCTGGTGGTTGGCTTGGTCGGGTTATCATCCACAGTGAACGCCAGTCTGGGGTCCAAATAGGTGGTTCTTTTATTTATATGACTAGAAAGAAAAAGGAGACAAGTATTTCCCATCTGGCCACCGCTGTGAACATGGGCATTCAGAACTATGAGATAATCTCCATTTCTCATGTCCCAAAAGGTTTACTCTTAACACTGAATAGAAAGGGGCCCGTTCTGTTTATCTAGCTACCAGAAGGGTAACACACTCCTGCCTGGGAAAAGCAGTTATCAAATCCTTTCCTTTAAAATTACCTGTAAAATGTACTGTAATGTCCAATAACCACTGCTGGGAGGCCCTAGATCTCCAAAAAGCCTTCCGGAGGCCTTTTTAAACTTGTGTCTGTAAGATCTGCCCACCACCACTCTTCAGAAGCTCCCAACCTGAGTGTCTGAGCCCTGTGCACCTTCTGAAGACTGTTAGACAAGAAGAAAACTCAGGATGAGGAATTATAAGTAAATATAGAATTCACCAACCACCTGAATTCTGATGGTTCTCATTTTAAGACTGAACTCAGTTTCACTTGGCATTTATTTAAAGCTCAGAAAATATATTGGTACATATGGATTAATAAGTTATTTCTTCCATAATGAGAGATTTAGTGATTTTTTTGAACATTTAAATGTATCCTTGGGATGTTTTATAACTAGACTTTAAAATGGCTTATAAACTACATGTCTGAACACTCTCTAGAAATAACAATAAATGAGATTTCAGGATTTTAGAGGTTTCTGTAAAATGTACTACTATTGGTGAATATACAGTCAAGTCAGTCCCAACTCATGAACCCAATACAATGCAATAAAAAAGTTATAAGAATGTTATTAGACTTATCTGTATGTTGATCTGAGAATTCATATTTATGTGTGTGTATAGATACATATATATGTGGGAGAAGGATGGGCAATCTACTCCCTTATCATTTACTGCCACTGAAAACTTGTGGTAAAATCAGTTCCATAGATTTGGGTCAGTTCCAACTCAAATGCATACAATAGTACACACACACACACATAAACATATATACACACACATATTCATATATCTATATTACACAAATATTTTGTTGTTGTTGTTGTTGTTATGAAGCACTGAGCTGACCTGACTCATAGCTGACCCTGGATTTTCAGAGGAAGCTAATTACATGGGACAAGAGTGCCCATCTTTCTCCCGATGAACCACTGATAGATTCGAACCACTTGCCTTTGGGTTAGCAGACCAATTCCTTACCACTAACATACTAGAGCTTCTGATACAATGTATACATTCAAACATATTACTTGTACATTCATAGATACACACTGACATATACATCTATATATATGAATGGTTATGTATGTAACACCCACATTTTCTACACATGTAGAGCTCTGGTGGCACAGCCCACTGCAGGTGGCATTGCTAACTCATGCGTGGTGTGTGTGTACATTTATAAAATTACTAGCTTACAAATTCTTCACTCAATAAATCCTAAAACCCAAAAACCACCATTCTATTTTAGCTTTAATCACAGCCTGATGGAGAAATGACTTCAGTCTTCTACACACACAACAGAGTGTCGGCATGGTAGAGAAAGTTCACACCAGCTACACAGTGATTCCCACGACGAACTGGACCTCAGCAATGGTGGACGTATCCCACTACGAGCTGGACCTCGGCAATGATTGGTGTATCCCACTACAAGATAGACATCAGCAATGGTGGACAAATCCTGCAGTGAGCTGGACCTTATTAATGGTGGACACATCCCACTGCGAGCTGGACCTCAGCAATGATGGACGTGTCCCGCTGGAGCTCACTATGCTCAACTTACTCCATGATGGATATAAACGAAGGTGACCAGCCAGGGAACCTCGCATGCAGCCTCGTCCTACTAGATGCCAAAGTCCTTGCCGGCTCCTCTAGACTAGATCTGGGCTTGGTAAACAATGGTCCGCAGAACAAAGCCAGCTGCATGTACGAATAAAGTTTAAATTAAACACAACCGCACTCATTCTTTTACACATTGCCTGTCACTGCTCTCCACTATAGCAGAGTTGAGTATCTGTGGCAGAAACCACACAGGCTCCAAAACCTAAAATAGTGATGAGGTGCTCCGTAACAGAAAGAGTTTTAATAAGCTCTGCTCTAAAGAAAAGTCAGTGGCTCTCAAATGACCACATCACAATTAGCGGAAGGGCTTGCTGAAACATACCGGCAGGCCCATCCCCACAGTTCCTGGGACAGAAGAACTTCTAGTAACATGATCCTGAGAACGTGCATCTCCAATAAATTCCCAGCTGATGCTGATACTGCTGCTCTAGGAGCTACAATGGTAGAAAACACTGCTGTAGATCAATAAAGAGTAACAGCCAATCCAAGTGAAGAACTTCCTAAGCATGAGTGCAAAAGGCCTTTGTAGCAGATAACGAAAGGGCTGTCTTCCTTCACTTACTAAGAAAAGCTTGTACAAACTATATTCTTGCTATGTACCATTGAGTCACAAATGACTCACAGCTGGCTCCCCAACAAGTTTTCAGAGGCTATAAGTCACATAGGAGGGGACTGCCCATCTTTCTCCAAAAGAGCAGCTGGTGAATCCAAACCATTTGCCTTTGGGTTAGCAGTGCAACTCCCTACCTCTAGGCCACCAGACCTCCCTTAACAAATTAATATTCCTGTTATTGTTCGGTGCCATCAAGTTGAATATGACTCATCACGATCCTGTGAATGGTCAACCTGAACTCTGCCCTGCCCTGTGCCATCCTCATCACCTCTGACATACCAGAGCACACTGCTAAAGTCACTATGTTAGTTCATCTCATTGGGAGTCTTCCTCTCCGTTGCTCACCTTCCCTCTTTCCAAGCATGATGTCCCTTTCCAAGGAAAAGTCTCACTGAGTATATGTCCAAAGTATGAAAGACAAAGCTTTGCCATCTTTGCCTCCAAGGAGCACTCTGGCTGCACGTTCCCCAAGACATACCTAACAGGAGATAACAAAACACTTCCAACTTCCACTTGCCTAACAGCCTCCTCTCTGTGGCTGCTCAAGGCCATAAGCAACCCTTGATCCTTCTGTTCTAGGCACTGGCTATGCATCAAGACTGCCCTAGGACTTTGGTTCCAAAAGTTCTTCGGCCATTAGAACTTTTATCTTATAAGGTGAACATAAATGTCTGTGATGCATCTCAGCAGTAAGCAGCCTTAAACCCCTTTTCTTCTAGCTGATATACTGAAAGCATTAGATTTGTACCAAAAATGCAGAACGATTCAGCACTCAGGTGTATGAAAACGTGAAATTTCTGAAAGTGTTGCTATGTACCATCAAGTCGGAACTGACTCATAGCTGACCCTCTGGTGGGTTGCCAGAGGCAGTAAATAACAAAAAAAAAATGTCCATCTTTCTCCCACGGAGTCGCTGCTAGATTTGAACCATGAACCACAGGCTTTTAGGGTTGACAGTGCAATTTCTTACCACTAAGCCATCAAAGCTCCCTTTAAAGAAAGCACAACTGGAAATAACAGGTGCTGTGCTTTAGGGGTGCCTTTAACCTCTAATTAGGCTATGCCATGCTTTGGGGGAGAGAGCACCCTGTAGTCTAGGCAGCAGACACATCAGAGCAGGCCTGGCTTGTCCTAAAGCATGCTGCATTTTAACAGGAGGTTAAATAAAATGTGAATGTTACATACATACCTTTTGGGTCTTAACTAAGAAATCCTAACTCTGTAAATAAGGTAATTTCTCCTTTGCATTAGAGCAGCCAAGAGGGCTGCTGGTTATAACTCCGTAGGTTCTAATCATGGCTCTGCCACTTGCTTACTGTGGGATCCTTGAAAAGTCGCTTACATCAGCAGTAGACTATGGATAATGATGGTATCACTGCCCCTGAGGTTATTGTGAGGACTGAGTGAGCTAATACTGCAGATATAAAGTAACTTGACCTATGCCTGGCTCACACTGTATGCTCGGTAAGTGATTATCTTCAGGGTTTGTTTTTGAAATTTATTCACAGAATCAGAGAGGTGAAAAATGTGTAGAGACAAAGATACTCAAAATATTATTTTTAATTATAGATGCCCAATGACAGAGACTTAGCAACATCAGTGCCCGACAGGTAATCTGATAAATTACGGGACGTCTGTACAAAATATTCCAGACCCACTTCCATTAAGTCCATTCCAACTCAAAGTGACCCCCTAGCGTCAGGGATGAACCGCCCCACAGGGTTTCCAAAGCTGGAATCTGCAGGGACACTGACTGCCAGGTCTTGACTTACACAGAGCCACCAACCTTTCCATTAGCAGGAAAGGGCTCCTCAAAACAGACTACAGCCAAACAGGTATGAGGATCCAAAGAGGCGAGGGGAGGAGCAGAGGAGAGAGGATGGACAGAGAGGTAACCACAGGGTCACACAATGTAAAGGGTAGAGGGAGGGGTGGGTAAAGGAAATGAGAAAGATTCGGGGCAAAAAACAATGTACACGAACTTTGTAAGCAAACCAGTAAAAAATAAAAATTCATATAAAAAAACCAAACCAGACTACAGCCATTAAGCATCATCACCTTGAAAATGACGTAAAAATGCTCATAATACATGTGGAAAGCTGGTTACAACACAGTTCATTCTTTTTTTGTTTGTGCAGGGCAAACAACATAGACTGAAAGGATTAATAAAAAATTGTTCAGAGTAGCTATTCCTGCAAATAACACTGTGATCATGTACTTCGTATTTTTCTCATCTTCACAATGTTCTTGCAGTCAAGGCGAATTACCATTGTTATTGTTGTTGTTGACTGCCTTCAAGTAGAGCACGACCCTATGAACAAAAGGCTTAAAGTCCTCTGTAACTGTCGACATTCATCAAAGTTCATAGACATGTTACCATTACAAGCTGTAAAATCCTATTAAAAAGCAGTATGGCCAAGGCTAGTTCTTATGAAGACACTTACTCAACAAAAAACACTTGTCCGTTCTCGTCAGTTTCTTGCTCCCATCCGTAAGGCAAGTCTGAAACCCAGGAAAGACAGGAAGGTGAACATGGGACAGGGCGGACAGAAGCCCTTCCCGAGGTGTCCCAGGTAAGAGGGGGGGGTCCCCACCTTGCCAACTCCACCCTCTAAGCCAATCCCTCTAGATCACCAGCTTCCACACCCTGAGGTCACATGTCCTACTGCAGCCATCATGCAAGGCCCATTATACATGTAGGCCTGTAAGGAAAAGTCAAAAAGCCTATTCCATTCTTGCTGTCTTAAAAGCCCCACCTAGCTCCAGTTTCTGCTGTGATCCTGCTGGATGCTCCCATCAGCAGGAATTCTCCCCTGGAGGCGTTCACGGACCCCATCTATCCAGGCAGCAGGCACCCAACACATTGGTACACTATGCCATACTATCAAGTGATGTTTACAACCTCTCTATTCAACAGGACCCTAAAGCCCTTGACGGCAGGAATCTTCTTGTATTTCTATTCCTGGATCTCCCACTTGCAAACTGGAGCCCCTAGAAGGCATAGAGATCTTTACAAAATCCCACAGCACATTGGTGTCTTTCATTTCATGACATGAGGCAACAATTTTATGCATAGACCTTCATAGAAACTAATGTAACATGAGTGTAGGATCTGATTGTATAAATATTTTTTAAAACCAATCAATTGTCTTCACTCCACCCCAACATCTAATCAGCCCGTTCTACTTATCAGCCCAGCAGAGTAAGAATCAACTTTTTTCAGAGTTGTTCCAGTGTGCATGGTGGCCTGTGATATGTTTCCCATATAATTCATGTTCAAAGTACAAGCTTCTTTGCTTTATGGTAACGACAACATACAAACCTCCTGCTACTCGCTTTCTCTTTCCAGTTTTTGGATGTTCCCACTGAGTCTTCTCCTCAGTGTGGCTGTTAACAAAAAATAATAATAATAATTAGCTCTAGTTATACTTCCGTTAGAGTTACACTGAAAAAAAAAAAAAAGGAAATTCAGAACTTAACTGTGTTAGTTAGTATGGCCCTCCAACAACATGGGAGCCTGGGACAGGCCTCTGTGCTGGTGTCAGTGAACTGTTCACCCTCCTCCTTCACTTCCCCCTATTCTACCTTCATTTTCAGAGTCTACCCCCTCCCTTTGCTGCACCTCCACCTGTCCTCAGCCCCACTCGGCTCCCTCCTGCCTCAGGGGTGTTACTCTCACTGTTCCTCCACCTGGGACACTGCCCAGTTCATCCTGTCTCCTCACATTTCCTGTCAGAGCTCACCTCTTGCAGGAAGGTCCGTCTCTCTCACCTTTCGGCTAGAGCGGACTCACCCCAATTCCAACTTCACCCCCAGACACAGAAAAAATCCAGAAAGGAACCGTGGAACCCTGGCACGTTGGCAAAAGCACTTGGCTGGTGACCCAAAAGTCAGCTGGTAGAACCCACCAGCTCCCAATTCCTTGCCCTGCTTCCATTTGGCTCGGGAGCGCCCTCACTAACTGAAATACTATCTCTGGCTTATGGTTGGTCACAACACTTAGTCCATAAGGCAGGGGATTCTGGCTCACTCCCTGCTGCACCCACAGACTAGACGTGGTGGCAGCCAGGGAAATGCTTATTGAAGGAAGGAAGAAACGAGCAAATGTGTTCCCAGCCTGGCGGGGCACAGACACACAGCCATGGGACAGTGCCGCTCACACAGTGGATGACAGCTGTGGCCTCACGGGAGGCAGGAGGAGAAAGCTCCCAACAAGGGTCGAGGCTGACAATGCAAAATCAGCCAGGATAGGGCCAACGAGGGCAGGATCGACGTAAAGGATGACAGAGGCCACCAACCTGCAGGACAGGAAGCATGGCAGGGTCAGCATGGACAGGCCTCAGGCATTACTCAGCCCATGGCTGTTCTTCCCACCTGCCCTGGGGATTGGTACAGCTCCTGCTCCCCTGGACGGAGCCAAGTGGGAACCTGACAGTCACACTCAATCCCAACCCACTCAAGGACGCGGGAAACCAGTGGGACAACTCAAGCTCCCACAGGACAAAGCTGCGGTTTGGATCTGTGCCCTGTGGTGCTGACCCATCCCGAGGGGCACAGTCACCCCTGGGGCTGAGCTCTGGTTCTAGCTGAAGACAGTAATCTGGTGCCCAACTCCCATTCACCAGCTGTCCAAACTCCCTGTGCCCCAGTTTCCTCCTCTGTGAAATGGGGAGAAGAGCTGCACCTATTGTTGAGAGTGAGGTGTCCCAAAGAGACAGAGCAGAGCTGCCCCACAAGGTTTGCTAGGTGACATCTGTACAGGAGTAGACCACTGATTCTTATTTCCCATTAGAAGCATTAGCAAATTTGAACTGCTGACCTTTTGGTTAGGAGGCGAGCATTTACCACACAGCACCCGCAGGGCTCCCGATAGTAACTACTCAGGTTATTAAAAGGGTTGACCAAGCTTATGTATGCAAAGAACTCAGCACCATTCCTTCCACACAGTCATTTTTTCAGAGTACATAAAAGTTAAAATTACTTAAAGGATATTCTTTTTAACTGCAATCTAAAATTAAATTAGGACACATGCCCCCAAAGTATTATCTGCCTTAAATAGAAGTCCTTTATTCTCCCTCTTTCAATAAGCTTCTGGTCAATTAAAGAGAGAATTATTAGTGATTTTAATTTAAAAGTCTCTAAAATAACATTTGTACCATAGAATCTGTCAGGAAAGTGGAATGTATGTTCCTGGTGGCACAGGGTGTCATAACAGGCTGCAACCCATAAAGGTGGCAGTTCAGGTGCTCCAGCCACTCCAAGGAAGAAAGAGTGAATGATTTCCAAGGTCCAACAAAGGGCTCCCCTGAGAGACTGTGCATTTAGTGGGGTCGGAGGGATGCACTGCCATGATTTCCTGCTTTTTTTAAAAAAAATCTTTATTTTTATGCTGGTTTTTTTACAAAGTTGGTATATACATTGTTTTTCACAGCAGATCTTTCCCCTTTCCTTTCCTCACGCCTCTCTCCGCCCATCAAATTGTGTGACCCTATGATCAAGCTGCTCCCCTACTTCACCCATCCTCACCCCTCTAAGTTAAGCATAGGCAATGGTGCCCACAGCAAGGACAAGCCCAGGTGGAAGAGAAAAACCTCTCCTGACAGCAAGAGGCTGGTGGTCCTCAGGTGGTCAAGGGGCCTGGGCTGCAGAGGGGGAGGGCGGAGAGGACACAGCAAGGCCCTGGCACCAGGGTTCATCCCTCCATCCCAGCGCCCTCAGAAGGGCCGCTTTAGACTTCTGCAGGGCAAGAACTCCAAGTTGGCAGGATCCCTGTGATGGTGGTGCTTTGGGGGTCTATCAGTGCACCGTGCAGCACGTGTAAAAGGGGACGGCTGGGAAAGGGGTCTCAACAGGAGTTATAGCTTCTCCACCAGCCCAGGCCTCGGGCCTGGGCCTGCTGCAGCAGGGCACATATGGATTGGAAAAGGAGATGTCTCAGAGAGTCTTCAGGAGGGCCTATTATCTGAGTTCTCCACCCGTTGGAAGGACAAGTGATCATGTCAGAGTTAAGAGGCAAAGAAAGCCCAGAGGCACCTTCAGGTCAGGAGAGATCAAGGAGAGTGTGGGGCATCCAGGGTTGCTTACAGGTCAAAGGTATCGTTCAACCTCCAGAATGAAAGAACAGAGAGGGTGTGCAGGTCTGGCCCAAGGGTCTAGAGGGGTGTGTCCTTTACCTACAGGAGCCAGTCAAGTCAGCCTCCCAAATCAGTGTAAAAGGTGGGACCTCGTGGAGACCCCCACTCTGTACTGAGGACACTGCCTGACTAAAAAGACAGCAGCAAAGGCTTCCAGGAATTGAGTCATTCGTAACTTTTATTATTCGCACGTATGAATCCTCCTGCCAAGTGTTGGATGCGTCACGCCTGCACTGAGGCTCCTTATCAACCCATTTGACAGATGAGGAAACTGAGTGGCCCGAGGTCACACGTTAAGCGACGGGGCCAGCGCGAGGCCGGGAAAGGTGAAGGTGGAAGGTGGGCAGCGTGGCTGTCAAAGGCGCCGCCCCGTGCCCTGCCCCCAGGTGGGACCCTGCACCTGCACTTGGATTTGTGTTCTGACTCGGTGTTGGGCGCCGCGCAGTGCTGCCTCGTGGACAGCAGAGGGCGCACCTGGACGCCGCCAGGTGACCCTCGCGCCACCCGGGGCCCCGGAGGGCAGGGGGAGACCGGCCCCTCCAGAGCCCATCAGCCGAAACTCCTCCGCACTCCGCCGCCACTCCGCACCGGCCTCGCCGGGCAGGTCCGCGGAGTGGCCGGACACGGGAGGCTGTCAGGGCTCCAGGTGCGTCCAGGCCCGGCGGCGCCCACTGCGGCCCCCTTACTTGGCATAGTAAACCCAGCCGTCCTTGGTGGTTCTCTCCTCCCAGCCCGGAGGCAGCTCGTCCTCGCTGTCCGTGTCGTCCAGGCCCGCGTAGCGCAGGGCTGCCATGGCCGGTCGAGGCGGTGCTCGTTCCCCTGCTCGCTGACAGACCAGCGGGGTCCCTTCACCCACAAACTCCTGCCTCAAACAAGCGCCGCGCGCGTCCGACTCTGACCGCTCGCGCCTGCGCACTGCGCCCCTCAAGCCGCGCCGCTCAACTCCGCAGCTGCAATCCAGTTTCCGCGGCATCACAGCTGCCGGTGGAAAATGGGCGGGGCCCGAAGAGAAGGGCGGGGGAGAGCGCCTGAGAGGCGGCAAGGAGGCTCGGCTGCAAGGAAAAAGCGGATAGCACTCTATGATTCTGGACCTGGAGGCGCGCTTCCTCAAGCTGCCAGCTACAGGAAAGGGGCGTGCGCATCCAGTCACGGTCCAGGACTACACCCGCTCTGGGAAGGCCCATAATCCCTCTCGCGTTGTTCTGACCAATCCTGAGGGAGCCCCACCAATGAGGCATGCTGGGAAATGTAGTCCGGGCCTCGCCGCGCTGGCCTGAAGCAGTCAGGTGCCGCCTCTTGTTTTAGCACCTTGTGAGGAAGAAATGTCCTTGCTCAGAAACCTTCCTGGGCTCCCCGTCAAACATACTGTGAGTCGTAAACTTTATAGTGCATATAAGCGACGAGGAGAAGGTTAAAAATGTAAATGCCCGCGGACAGAAGTTTCTTCACTGTCCAGGTGATTCCTATGCTGTTAGGTGCCTTGAAGTGAATGCACTCCAGACCTGAACCTGCGCGGGCCCCGCACCACCCTCACCCCCTCCGACACGCCCCGTTGTTACAGTCCCTGTGTCTGTGTGTCTTGCTAAGGGTCGTCCTCTGTCTCTCTAAGTCTCCACTTTTCCCAGTGCATTGTCTTTATGCAGGGACCTCGTCTCCTGAGCGTGCAAAGTGTGTGAAGCAGTTTCCCCGTCCTTCCTCGGAGGAGGAGAACCCTACTTGCACTTCCTGCAGGACGTCTCTGTTGGTTCTCTTGGAAGTGCATGTGAATGCTGTTCAGTCCTCTTCACCAACATCGCCGCTCAGAGGCATTGACACGTTGCCGCACGCTTTTAACATTGACAGCCGCGCTTAGGAACACATTTGCCATCATTTGCAGGAACGTGTAAGTCATCTGACAACTGAGCGGACTTGCTGTCAAGGACCCACCCAAGGGCCCAAGAGCAAGGCTGTGCGTTTAAAGAGCAAGGTGCACGATCCAAGCCATGGTATCTTCAGTTGCTTCCAACGTATGGGGGAGCTGGACAGCGGATACCTTTCTTTGGAGGAAGAATCAAAGCCTTTGAGTTGTGGTGTTGATGGAGAGTACTGAATGTCCCAGGGACTGTGGAAAAACAAACCAATCTGTGTGTCGAGTCTGTCTGTCGTGGTGGAAATGCAAACAGGATGGTCCTGAGAGGCAAGATAAAACTTTGTCTCACTTGCCAGGGGCATAAAAAAAAAATAATGCTTGGAAAAGCAGAGGGTCAGTGGACAAGAGAAAGACCTTTAATAGATTAACACAGGGACTGTAACAATGGACAACATGGCAAAAATTGTAAGGATGGCACAGGATAGGACAAGGTTAAGATCTGTTGTTCTAAGGGTTTCTATGAGTGGCACCTAATAGCAACAGTGATGTACCCGTGTGTGTGTGTGTGTGTGTGTGTGTGTGTGTGTGTTTATTTTGGTAGATAGATAGATTCTATAAAAATAGATAAATTCTATAACAATAAATAAATTCGATAAAAATGTATAATCAGCCCTGTTACCATTAACAAACCCCTTAAAAATCTCTCCTGCCATCTCCACCAGGGTTTCTCAGCTTCATAGTACTGGCCTTTGTTGTGAGAGGCGCGCTAGGGTGTTGTAGGTTCTGGAGCAGCATCCATAATCTACACCCACTAGATGCCACGTCTCCCCCAGTTATGGCAAGCTGAAGTGTCTCCAGAGGCTATCAGATGTTTCCTGGAGGGTGGGGAGGCGGGGTGAATCATCCCCAGTTGAGGACCCCTGATCTGTATTTATAATGTATTGGACAATTTCTAACTAGTTGATAATATGCTGAGATGTACTTCAGGTGCTGAAGAGTCCATTTCTGGCGGGAAGCTGCATAGGGACACCTGCACCACTTGGCTTCAGCTGCAGGTTCTAGACACAGGTTCCTTGCACATGCCCCTTAAATTTCTAGGCTTTCTTGGCAGTTGGGACACACAGACCAGCAAAGAGTCATGTGTGTGGCCCAGTACCAATAATAACCCCAAGTGACTATCACAACCTCATGTGATTCCCCCACCCCTTACATCTTATTTGGTGGGATTCGTCAGATGCTTTAAAAGGAAGAGATCCTACAGGCATCTTTGGACTTGTGAGGATTTTAGCATGCTGTATTCTAGTATTTATAATCTTGTCACTGACAAGCTGCAGGTCAGCTGTTGGTGGTGAAAATTTAATCTTAAAGAGTTCTAGTGACCTAGTGGTAAGGAATTGCACTGCCAACCCAAAGGTACAAGGATGGAATCCACTAGCTGTTTCATGGGAGAAAGTGGGGCAATCTCTTCTTACGGGATTTACAGCCTCTGAAAACCCACTGGAGGGTCAGCTATGAGTGAGTTCCAGTTTGACAGCAAATAACAACAATGTGTAGAAGACAGGCAGCATAAACTTCCAAAAACTGTCTTTCCATTTTGGAGACCTCACGGACTTTAACATTGGGGTGTGAAAACTTTTATGGTTAGAGTAGATAAGGGTTGAACTAGAATATTAGCAGAGTCTGATGGACCCCAAGGACAGGCCCATGTTTTTTTAGTAGTTTCTTGCCCACCTCTCAGGGCTCTACCCGACACCCCTAATGCCCTATTCTTGGCCTGCATTTTTTGTTTCCTCTTTGCAGACTTCCCCATTTACTATAGTTTTCCTTCCATTCCTAGCCTTTTCCCTCTCAGGGATTTAACTTACATAAGTCTTTGACTTTGCTCTTACAAAGGTCTATTAAAGAGCAAGCCCTTCTGTAGTGTAGGTATAAGGAATGTGATGAGCTTTAAATCATAAATAAGCCAAACTCCTCAGTACATAACCCCAAAAAAGTCTGAAGAGAGGCTTGGGGTTATTTTTCCATAAAGCTAACTGGATCACACTGATTATTAGAGTCGAACTCACTGTCGGTAAGTAGAAATGGACTCAGCACACACCCCAGTGGACTTACAAGGCTGTAAATCCCATGGCACGAGATTGGTTATATATCCTCCTAAGAGCTGCTGCTGCTGGATTTGAAATACCAGAAAGGCACAACATTTAAGTGAGCAGCACAATTTCTGACAGGCTACGCCATCAGAGCTCTCTGCATTGATTGTCGTTGTTGATATTAGATGCTGTCAGGTCAAGTACAACTCATAGCAACCCTATGAACAGCAGAGCTGGACCCAGTCCTATTCTGTACCATTTTAACAATCTCTGACACACATGAGGCTATTGCTGCAGTCACTGTGTCAACCCACTTGGTTAAAGGTCTTCCTCTCCTTCTCCATCACTCCACCTATTGCACGAGGTAAGTCTGTAGCCAAGGACCCCTCCAAATTATTGAAAGGCAATGATGTCAGTCTGAGGACTAAGGTGTGCCTGATTCAGGCCATGGTCTTTTCAGTTACTTGCTATACATCTGAGAGCTGGACAATGAATAAAGATGACAGAAGAATTGATACCTTTGAATTGTGATATTAGAAAAGAGTACTGTAGATCCCATGGACGGCCAAAAGAACAAACAGATGTGTCTTGGAGAAGGTACAGCCAGAATGTGCCTTGGAGGCAAAGATGGTGAAGCTTCATCTCACATACTTTGGGCATGTTGCTAGAAGAGGTTATTCCTTGGAGAGGGACACATACACCAATTATTGGGGAGATTAAAAAAAGAAATTAAAAAAAAAATCAATGCATGGTTATACAAGTGGACACCAGGTGGCCCTATCTACCCGTGATTTTAAGGCCCAAACCTAACATGATGAAAAGAGTTCATCTAAATTTTTTCCACAATATCTGATAAGTTTAAAACATTTAAAAATTGACTTATTTTCCTTTTGCTGAAAGCAATTTGAAGTCACTGAAATATATGTTTATGTGTGTACACACACACACATAAAATATATGTAAGTTCTGGTGGCCTCGTGGTAAAAAGGTACACTGCCAACTCAAACATATATGGTTCGAACCCACCAGGCCTGAGGGTCATACAGCCACTGAAGACCCACTGTTACAGTCACTGCATCAATCCATCTCATTGAGGGTCTTCCGCTCCTTCACTGGCCCTCTACTTCCCCAAGGATGATGTCCTTTTCCAAGGACTTGCCCCTTCTAGCAGCAAGCCCAACATATGTGAGATCAAGTTTCCCCATCTTTACTTCTAAGAAGCAACCTGGCTACACTCTCGCCAAGATCTATTTGTTTGTTCTCTTAGCAGTCCAGTCAAGAGGGACACAAACTTCTTTTTTCTCCATAAGCTATTGGGGGGCTTGAACCTTGAGGACTAGAACAAGGGTGGAAAGGAAAGAGAAGTGATAGCCTTGGGCATTGTGCCCCACTTTGTGAGTGTAAAATGCTCTAGTTTTATGAAATATTGGTGATAGAATGGCAAGTGTTGTTTTTTGCTGTTTTATCATTTTTTTAAATCTTCCTTGCTTGATGCAATTAAAAAAATGACTATCATAGTGTAACCCATTTCACAAAAATAATACACATATAACAAAAATGTCAAACAAAAGCCTTTATTGTAGGAAGCCAAAAGAACAACCAAAAATATGTAGCAAGTGCAGCCAGGGTGTTTCTTGAGGCAAGAGGGTAAAACTTTGTCTGATACACTGTGAGCATGTGGTCAGGGCTTCCAGTCTTAGAAAAAGACATCATGCTGGACAAAGCAGAGGGTGAGTGAAATACAGGAAGATCTTCAAAGAAAGGCTACAGTGTGGTGGAGATTGTGAGGGTGTTGGAGGATGAGGCAAGATTCTGATGTTGTTCATAGGGTAGCTGTGAGTCACAGTCTACTTCATAGCACCTAACAACCACAAACAGGGTAACTTGTAAAGTCCCTTTCAGCTGTAAGAGACCATGAAGTTGATTTTTCTGAAGCAAAAGATAGAGGGAGAGGTTTTATTTCATTATGAAAATTCTCAAGGCTAG